CCCAACAATGGGACTTTTAGGACCTAGCCCACGCGAGTTAGATTCCGCCTGACGTTAAATAGTAATAAATAAATAAATAAATACACAAACTACACCAGACGCTACTGGTTTTCGAACTCGATTCTGAAAACTTGGACGACATTATTGATCTCGTTTATTGCGACTATACAGAAGAAGGACGAGGGTCTGAGGGAAGAAAGACGGCAGAAGGACCAGGACTCCTCAGAGACATGGTTTGTCGCTTTCTGGTGACGCACACGGTGACTCTCACTCGTGATAAGAGATTTATGGAGTTATTGGGAAATGGAGGGGACTTTGCCAGGGATATCTGGAAATATGAGGTTCAAATAAACCACGTGGATTCATGGGACCGGGACAAGGATCCCTTTGGCCCTCACTCCTTCCGTTTTAATGGGTAGTGAGAGTAATATTGTAATCGCAACAGTGGTATTTTTGCTCTTGATAGGATCAGCTCAAGCGTTCACTTTTCTCTTCTCTATCCGCGATATTCACTGTGATCACTCGGTGATTGGCCAATCTGTAGCTGCTACTAAGCAACGCTCGGCAACTGGAATTCCTTTCCATTCCAGAGGCATACATTCCATGGAATTTATGGAATTTCCAGATGATATTAATCATATGATCGGAAAAAGGTCTCCCCGATCCGGTCAACCAATAGGAAGCTCCAATTTGGCTTTAAATTACCTACCTGTATTTATCGTAGCACCTGCCCTGAGAGATTTCACTTGGAGCTCCTAGGTAGGCTACGAATACTATAATATAGAGAGTCTCTATATTTATAGCCGTTTGATTATCTAGGTAGTTAATTACGGTACTAGTATCCCTCACTTAAATCTCTTCATTCACTTAAAAACCACCCCTGAATACTACGTTTTAGTTAGCCAAAAAAAGCCTCTGGAATTCCAGAGACTAATCGATGGAAGTATTCCATTCCATTTTATAGGTGCTCTGGAAGTATTCCATGTCCCGAGCGTTGCTACTAAGGGACCTTAATCGTAGATTCGTAGTAGAACATAAATTTATATCTAAAATTCTTTGGCATAGTCTATGTACTCAGAATTAAAGTTTTTTAGTATTTTCCTACATAGTTCTTACACTATATCATTGAATAGATGGTCGAGGCTCCATCCTCGGTTCCCGTCCTCTCCTGCCAAAGTATTCATGTAATTAACACACGACACTAACCAAATCCCCTCGACACAATCCCACCTTGGCTTTTTTATCTTATAGACTGATGCAGATCCTTCCAAGTTCATAACCAACAAAAACAGCTTAGCGAGCGTATCACGTCAAACAAATAGTTGCGACAAATAGTTTCATTCTCAAATTGTAGGCTGGACTGCGAAAGATACGCAATCCCTTACTACAATAAAGCTACCTCATGAGTCCCTGAAGGTGCCCGTGTCCCGAATCACATAAGTTGCTCTCCACATTTTTGTTCTTCTCAAAATCATGTTTTCCTCCTCGGAATCTTCTCCCTTTTATCTACCTCATAAAATCTACCGCCATTCGACAGTCAAACAGGTGACTTGTCTTCTTGTGAAGAGGGTATACAATAACAATCTCAACCCGGCATAAATATTCCTACTTAGGAAGAGAGCGCTCTCCCCCACCCACTCTGCCCAAAATCCCAAAACCTAGAACTAGTACGACAACACACGCAATGAAAATCACAATACAGATCAAACTGATTTTACCTTGCAAAAGCCGGACCAGAGGAGAATAAGTGCTCTTCATCTCGCTTGATACCGCTGACGTGCTCTCGTCTACCATCTTGTTAAGTTTAGGCTCCTGTTTGACTTCCTCAGACAGATTGACGATTTCAGAGTTTAAAGTGGTCGTGACGAGGATTTGATCCGCCGCGGTTTGCATATTTGACAAATCCATCGAAGCTGCTCCTGAGCTCTGATTGAAGTAATTTTTATGGATGCGTAGCGTTTCGATGTAATGACACGCTGAGGTGTTGTGGTCGTCGGTCATGGATTTACCGCTGGTGTATCTGGAGGAATTGGATTAGTATAGTTTTCCACCGGGTTATGGAAATAGGATTCTTTCCAGTGCTGGTGAGTTGTGGAGAGGGTATGAAGAACTCGGATTGGAGAAGTGGCAGCTATCCCGACATTCCCCAAACCAGTCTGCTCATAAATTCGCTGTTCAATTTTGGTGAATCGGTGCAACATCCATGACCCCTCAAATATGCTTTATTGGGGTAAACTCACATCAAAATCACAGTAATTGCCAACTCGAGGAAAATCATCATCCAAAGGTGCTTAAAAAAGAAATTGAACAGTTCAGTACGATGAACTTGGTGATCCAATTCCTTGCATTCAGACTCCTTATTCTACCCCTTAAATCAGCACATCCCACTAAATCAAACCACTAATCATGAAAATACCTTAGCAGTACGAAACAGGATAATAGAATCCGCAATAACACGAGTATGTGTTTGAATCCCAGCAGGATCATCCTCCATCAACTTTTCTCTCGAAAGCTCGTGGAGATTAAGACCAATCCAGCGAATACCATCGGGTCGTAGGTAAGGAGCGGTCGAGATTCCTCTAAACTCCAGAAGTGCCTTGACCCATTCCTTCACTGCAGAGTTGTCGGCTTCACGGGTGGGGAATGTGGCGAGGAGATGGTTGAAGTCGGCTGGTTTCTTGGGTGGCTCTTGTTGGTTTTGGGAGGCCATTTTTATGGGTTAAGTAGTGTGTTGTGTAGTAACTTCTTCCGTGGATGTATTGAGGTGAGGGGGAAGGTGTTGGATTTTTAAGTCCTGGCTTGTGGCATCGGATCTCAACAAACCTGAGAGCTTCAGGTAGACTGAGAGTGTGGTAAAGAGCGTTTGAAGGATTGCTGGCAAAATTCCTTGAATTGAGGAGACCCCGTCTGAGTAGAGAAGGAGAGCTGCAAAGTCGTCGCATCGCAGGTATATGCTCTTCCTACACTTGGACCACCAGAGCATTTCAAGTGAATTTAGGTATTTAGTGCTAGAAACACGTGGAGTACACTCGTTCACAGAGGAGGGGGGATATATATTCACCGAGATCACACTTGACTGCCAATTACAATCAGCGTTGAAATGAGTTGAGTTGAGTTGAGTAGTGGCACCTGCTCAACTCAACTCGCACAGTACTCGAGTTAAGCCAAGTACTATTCATTAGTGCAGAGTAGACCGGTTCGAGCGTCTGGAGACCGGTCCGATTGTTCATATTTAGCTAGCCACTCTATAAATTCCTGCAAAAATTACTTCTAGCGAGCTATTATTTAAGTAGGGGACTAATATCGTCACACGGAACATGGCTCGGTGTCTCCCCTTCGTTAATCTCTAATAAACCTCTATATAAATAGGACTATCTAATTGGCTTAGAAGACGAGAAATTTTACTGGAAGACGCCGTATTTAAGGACAACTGTTATGTACTTAAGACTATTTGTAGTAAACCACTCGAGTAGTCAAACCCACTACTTACTTATAATTGACTCAACTAAACTCTAAGTAACACTGAGTAGTACTCGAGTTTTTAAGTAGTTTTCTGGGACGCTGAAACCTTGAATACCACCTCTAAACTCCCGTATCCTAATTATGAACCAAACAGCATTCCACCCACAACATATCTGCAGACCAAACCTCTCTACCTCCACATTCCCAATCCTTCTATCAAAAAACCTTCACAGAGAGTCAAATCATATCGATAACAATTCATATATACAACTCCAAACATCTCAAACTGAATTTCTCGCTTAATTAAGCATAAATACAATTTCAAAACAATTCGCCTACAAATGAGAGTTTCTTCCTTTCTACTCGATTTTCCATTCTGATTTATATGATTATACCTATTTGCTATGATGGGAATAACGTAACCTCCCAGGCAATAACGACCCTCCTCCCATAAAGCCCGAACAAAATCCCAGGACCACACAAACCCAACTTTCAAGAGGAAATGGCATCCCCATCCCCCCAAGAATTCCACACACACCCTAAACACACAAATCTACTACATATACACACATCCCCCTTTCAACTTTCAAGAAACTCCCACAAAAACAAACAGAATAAGACATCAATTTACATATTATTATCCAGAGAAGCGTAAGAAATTATCAGAACATTATATTATCATAATATTATCATATATACTAGTAGACTCCTACCTAGAGATCTCTAGACAGAACTAATATCTTCTGTAAGGGGCTAGTTAGTAGAGATTTCGTATAAATAAGGGGTTTCGGCTACACTACGTTGCATTTGGGTTTGATTGGTTTAAGCGAGATATGGGATAATTTATAAGTATTTGATCTGTGATGATGATATTAATACTCGAAGGCGTTATGAAAGGTCATATTAATGATCCTGATTCTTGATAGAGAATTTAGAGATGTGACTGTGATATGAATGTGATATGTAATTCATGGCTCTCATCAGTTTTCATAATCAAATTAAGCGAGCAAAGCTTTTTATTTCATTTCATCTCACCCCACCTCATCCATCCCACCCCCCAAAAAATCAAATCTCCCTCCCTCTTCACAAGCTAAACCTCACTCCCAACACTCCTTTCCGGATACCTCAACCCCCCCTCAACCTTCACACAATTACTCACACTCCNCTCCCTCTTCACAAGCTAAACCTCACTCCCAACACTCCTTTCCGGATACCTCAACCCCCCCTCAACCTTCACACAATTACTCACACTCCCCCCATTCGCCCCCGCCTCAACCGGCACCTTCGCCTCCCCCTTCCCATCCTGCACCCGTCCCAGGACATGATAATAATACCACACCTCACTAAGCACCGTCCTCCCACTATCCAGACTCCCCTTCCCCTCCTCCGTACTATTCCAAGCCGGACCGGAGCAGCCAATATACGGCATCGCCCTATGGGCGCTCCTCAGCGCGTCCTGGAGGCAGGACAGCGTGTATGTCGTCGAGTTGGACGGCAGGATGTCGGCCGCGGCCAGGAAGGAGTAGGTTGGTAAAGCGAGGAAGTAGGAGATGGTGGTTTCGAAGAAATCTAGGACTTCGGTGTTAGGGGGCGCGAGAGGCCCGTAGCAGGGGAGGGAGAAGGTGGAGAAGCAGGTTGCGTGTTTGGAGAATTCGTGGGCCCAGAGGATGGGGTTGGGAAAGTTTTGGTTGATCCAGAATCTGTGTTTTTTGTTAATTGGCTTTGTTTTTTGGATTTTGGAGTCTGGGTTTGGAGGAGGGATGATGTACTTATTCATCCAGGCGATCAAATCGAATTTCCCAAATGCCTCGAGGGAGGTTGTTATCGAAGGCCCTTCATAAGGAGGGACTGGTGTGCCAGAAGGCGTCCCAGTCGTCGTATTCGGTGAAGGGACGGGATCATATTGACGACTAATTTCACTCGTTAGTCAACCATCTTTTCCCATTCTCACCCCTCAACCCCCCTTTCCCCTCCCCCTCCCTCAAAAAAAACGAAAAAACAAAAACAAACCTCAAATCACAATATTGCCCAAAACTCCCATCACAAAAATCCGGCCAAAGCCCATGGACCCCCCAACTCCCTTTGGGTAACACCTGACCCTCACTTTCCAGTCCCGTGTACGTGCTCCAGAACTGGGTGGATAGCACTAAG